GGGGAGGACATGTGGGGAGGGGGGGGGAGGCTGTCAGTCTGTCTCTTTGTGTGCAGTTTGGTTGGTTTGTCAGTTTGTCGGTTTCTTCCTTTGGCAAAGATACACACGCGGTCACAACAGCTGGCATTCAGTGGGAGCAGAGAGTACGACGGACTTTCCACTTTCTTGTTTTATTTATTAAAGAGTTTTACGGCACTTGCAACACAATTAGGTCATATAAGTGCCGAAGATAAGAGGTGTTACAAGAGAGTAACAAACACAAAAAGGAAGGAGGAGAGATGAGGACAATTATTATCAATAGATGTTTGATAGGAAAGAAGGAACAAACCACACCAGAGCACCCACCAACCACCCGTGACTTTCCTCCTGACTCAGGCTAAGCTACAGACGACAACCACACCATGAGAAGACAGGTCAAGACCAGACAATGGAAGCAACTCTTTCACAACCATCAACATGTTTAAAAAGTGTGTACACACATTCAAACACACATACACATACACACATGCACTCTCACACACACACACACACACACACACACACACACACACACACACACACACACACACACACACACACAATATGGCTGGCCCCGATTCGATTCGACAGGATTCGAATAAAGATTGTTGGTGTGCACGGTGTATAAAGCTTTTTCAAGCAGAAGATCCTTTGTAACGACGGACCTCAGGGTTTCTTTTATACTTCATTGGCATAGAGTCAAAACGAAGTAGGTTAAATGAACATGCAACTATAATATATAAATGTATTTTTTAATGGAACTCGGTACAGTTGCGACAATGAAGAGCCGTTGTTTTTATGCCACAGGTATTGAAAATGCGAAATAAGATTGTATGCATGAAGTTTTTAAACAACTTTATTGGATATGGTTTTATTCCAGTCTGTTACAGTTTATTTTATATAATGGTAGTGTCCATATATTCACAATTCTTTTATGTTGATATAGCATTTTTTTAAAGTTAGATGAAAGGAAGAAAAAAAGACGATTGAATAAATCCGGAGTTACTGACCCCATGCCAAATGGGTAAAGATAATAAATAATATAATCTCTTTAATAACGAGTACTTCAACCCTTGTTGGTCATAACTGTACGTAGTTTCTTGTCACAGAACTCACGATTGATAGTCCTTCCCAGACCAGGGGTGAGGGGTGTGTTTGTGTGTGTGGGGGGCATTGGTAGGTCATACGTCCTGCTTTCTTTTTTTTTCTTTCGTTCCTTTGTCGTTCCTGTATCGTTTTCTAGCTTTTTTTCTCATGCACTAAATGACCGCGTGGGTGGTTGGTGGGTGCTCTGGTGTGCTTTGCTCTTTCTTTCCTATTAAAAAATATATATATTATCGTCCTTATCTGTCCTTCTTTTCTATATTGTTGCTCTGTTAATCTGCAGTACTTATATAATATGACCTCTTTCTCGGCCTATTTCTTGACCTTTTAGTATCGCAAGTGCCATAAAAAATCTTATTAAACTTTTGTCCAGAGGAGTAGCTAGTTGGAGGGTGCCACTGGTTGGTCCTACTTCTTTCATTTCACTCTGTTGTCTCTGTCCGTTTATCTTCTCTCATCTCCCCCCCC